TAAAGTAGTATTTTAAAAAAATCTAATTGACTACAAGGCTGCAAAGATTTATAACAAATTAAAATATTGATTAAGAAAATATAATAAAAATTATTAAATTAGATTTAAATGATGTTTTAATATAAATAATAATTTTTAAATTTTGCTCAAACTCTTATTGTCTTATGATTATTATGTCGAAAGGACTCTTTGTCGGGGACCGCCTCGTGTCGGGCTAACTAAGAAACGGAGCCGAACACGAACACACTTTTTGAGCTTGAAATATAAACGAGCTAAACACGAGCTGGGCATGACTCGCTCGTGTTCGGCTCGTTTACACCCCTAGACAACTCTAGTGTTGGAGAAACAATGGTTTCGATGAGGCACGACTGTTGAGGGAGGTCCACCACTAGTTTTTGAACGAACTTCAAATACACCTTTTGCAAAAAGATGTTACAAAACTTCTTAGAGCAAAAAAATTAGATAACACGATCTCCAAGTACATAAACCAAAGAAATAACAAGATATAAATTGTCCCAAATAAAATTAACCCCAATTCAATTCAAAGTAAGCATAAGAAAGGGGCCCACAAGGGCTAGTTACCCCTAAGGGCGGGAATTATCCCGTAATGGGACAACTGGGACGGCATGAACGCCTTGATTCCTGTTTGAAAGCTTAAATAATCAGAAATATTTGAAGTAATGTATCAATGAACTTTGCAGCTATTAAAAAAATAGGAGAAAATAAATTTATGATGGTGAAATTGATGGAGATTAACACAAATATATCATCTTAATTTTTCTTGTAGAATCTCATATTTTAGATGATTGTTAAATTATTTTTTGATTTGAATAAATGGTTATTGACGTCCTTATATTAAAAGTGAGATGTTCTGCTAAAATTTTGGATTTGTAACCTATAGATTGTGAATTTATTTGTGTTTTTTGTGTCTCATTTGAGGTTTATAAGAAATTCTACTCTTTGCTATTCTACATTTTTACCCTTGTCTATATCTTAAGGATAGTTGGAATATTTATTTCGGTTATTATATATCTAAAATTCTAAATATGATTTAATGTGCTAGCAAATCCTTTCCAATGCATGCATGCCGTTGTTTACATCCTAAACTCTAAAATATCTTGAATTTACTAGGAATCTGTTGTTCTTGTATTAACAATGCTAGAATTTGTCACGGTTCTTGTTGTTCTTTATATTGACTAATTGATAGGCTATTTGTGAATAGATTCTATATGATTAAATTTTAAAATACATGCACACATCACCTTTCCCTTAATTTTTTCAATTTTAACAAAGCTGCAGTTTTTCCTTTTACATGCATGTGGTGTTTCATTTTTGATGGAAAGTTCTCTAAGATGGCAAAGTATGATGTTACTGGGATTGGCATTAATCTGAGAGAAGTTCCTGATGAGAATGGTGTTGCAAAAATCAAAGTTTTGGGTGTCATATTGGATGGCCCAGCAAATTCTGCTGGTGTAAAACAGGTAACTAGATTTTACTTATTGATACTGCTTATTCTCCATAGCATGGGTATCTTTCCTTCAATCAACTTTTTTCTTCTGGTCAACTTTACCGATAAATATTCATTTTTTCTCTAGTAATCTTTGTGTAGGAATGAGAATTCTCCACGTTTACCTCTGTTTTGTCCCACGATATTATGCTACATGTTTTCAGATTTGAAATGATCTATGCAACTTGTTCCTTGAGTATCACTAACACGAGAGAAAAACGGAGGATTAAAAATGAGGATTTTCCTTCAAATTATCTAAACTATTAAAATATCTAATTATACAGGGTGATGAGCTCTTATCCGTCAATGGGCTCGATATCAGGGGGAAGTCTGCATTTGAAGTATCCTCCATGCTACAAGGTCCAAAGGAAACATTTGTAACCATTGAGGTTGATTTTCTAAATTTGCTAGCAAAATCGTTTCAGAGCATTGTTCGGGATATCATTTGATTTTTTTATCTTCCCACCTTTAATCACTTGCTTGTATGTAGATCAGGCATGGAGATTGTGGCCTGACACATTCTATTAAAGTCCAAAGGCAAAATGTTGCTCGAACTCCAATATTTTATCGTCTGGAGAAACTGGGGAAGGGAAATGTTCCTGTTGGATATGTACGCATAAAGGAGTTCAATGCATTGGCAAGGAAGGATTTAATCATTGGTATATTTCAACTTAGGCTTGTTCTGTTTAATGTATTCAAATTATTACTTGTGTTTTGTTTATAAGTTTAGATTCCTCTAATTATCTAACTCTGATGTATTTGGCCATATTTAAGCAATTTACTATGTTCTTACGTTTTCTAGCTAGAAAATCTGGAATCACACACACACACACAGTTCCCTAAAATACGCATAATAATTTATTAGATCAATTATTATTCAAACAACTATTTCTTGTTGACTTTCATAAATCAAATGATTTTAGTTTGAGATGAAATTGTGACGAAGACCTTACGGCTAATATAAACTGACATGCAACAGTTTTCTAGAAAGTAGTTAGGTTATGTGACGTTGTTTGCTTTAGTTAATACTTGTGGTTAGGTTTAGAGTGCTAAAAAAAGGATTAAGTTACGGTCAAGCCTAATTTTTCTAGATAATTTAGGATCTCGGAGGATTTTAACTGAGAATATGTTCTTTCTCGCAAAGGCCAAGTTGCAATGTACAGTTAATAATTGTTAAATAGCTAAATAGCTGATAACGTAGAGTATAAGATTTTTCCTCCAATAGAACTAAATAATAATTTATGTGCATGATGGCTTCAATAGCCGATCATGTCATTGGTGGTTGCATGCATCCAGGGTAAAAGACTAGCTAGAGTTTGGAAATTTTAAGCCTAAGCGCTTCACAAACTTGTGTGACTACTTGTAGTGCAGCTCATGCTTTTTATGTTATTTTATATTCCCAGCCATTCGTTAACATATTAATTTGAATTCCAAAATAATTTTTGGTAAAATTGAAGTCTTTAACGTGTAGAAATCATATATTGAAGTTTGGGATGCGAGGTAAAGACAATAAAAGATTAATTTGGAAGTTAGGAAGTGTCCTACCATTCATTATATATGTTAATGAGTGCTATTTGCTTATAGAATATAATCTGATAGTACAAATCATTTCCAACCTTTATTTTAAACTTACGGGCTATCGATTGATAGGTGAATCTATTGTAGGCATGTTTTGAGTGTAGATTATTCTTATTTGGAAGGTATCGATGTACATCGATCACTGTTGTTAGCATTGATGCGAATAATGATCTATTCCAACTAGTATTTGTGTTAGAGGCTGAGTGCAACCAATATTGGTTTTGGTTTCTACGCCATTTGTATGAGCTACTCCTCATGTTGTCTTCTAAAGTTGACCATTGCTTTATCTTCAATTATAATGTTGGGATCGTAGGTGGTTGTAGAAAGATATTTTCGTAGGCATCTTAGAAATAACTTGAAGCAAACACTCAAGCATGTACATTGATACTATAGAAACATTAACGGGGTGTTTGGAAGCGCCTTTTAACAAGATTTATCACCTGACTTACTAAATCTAACTAAATGCTAAAATATAGGAGTTTTGTGGATTTATAAATTTTCGGATTTAGGGCCTCAATGTTCACTTTCAAATTTACTATATACTAGGTTTGGGAGGATTTAATGGATTTACGATTTGCATATTTGTTAAATCGTACTCACTTTAAATCTTAAGTGCAGGCAAACACTCTCTAGGGATGTATTAGGCCAAAAATACGATTGATTTATTTATGCTCAACTAACATATGTCTAATTTTAGATAAGCTAAACATGAAACATACAACTAGCTGTGATAAGAGATACACCAGATGGAGTTTATTGTACGATGATGACCATTAATATGAAATATGCTCAACTAACATTACTTGAAGCACTCAGTAGTATTTACATTGGTTATATAGAAACTCCAAGGGGGTGTTTGGTTGCGCCCTTTAATAAGATTTATCATCAGATTTACTAAATCCAACTAAACTCTAAAATGCAGGAGTTCTGTGGATTTATGAATTTTTGGACTTAGTGTCTCAAATTTACCTTCAAATCAGCTTAAATCTGAATTTACTAAATCTAGGGTTAGGGTGGATTTGATGGATTTACGATTTACAGATTTGCTAAATCATACTAATGCCAAATCCTACGTGCAGTCAAACACTCCTTAAGGTTGTATTAGGCCAAAAAATATGATTTTTTTTATTTCTGCTCAACTAACATTTGTGTGATCTTAGAAAAGCTAAACATGAAGCTTATTACTAGTGGTGATGAGAGTTTTACCGGATATAGTTTATTACATGATGATGACTAAATATGAAATAATGATTATGAATGTGTCATAATGCTTCGATGGAGTTCTTTATCACATATGAGGGCTCTCTATTAAAGCTTTAATATATTCAATCTCTTACAACATCATATCACTGTTTGTAAGTTGATTTATTGCATTATAAGATGTCAAAGGATAAAATGATATATATATATCATTAGTAGACCAAAGAGTAATATACAACTTTATGAGAACGAAACAAGAAGATATTTTGAACTCATCTAGATTCCCACTACATTTGTTGAATTACAAGTCAAATTCAATAATCTAGCACATTAAGATGCTTAAGAAACTATTTTTATGCATACTCCTGATTTTCTCTCCCACATTTTAGGATTTTTCTTCGCATTTTGCATGTTTTTCTTTGTTTATGTTTTCCATTTTAGATATTTTTGATTGTTTGTTTATTACATTTCCATCTTTTCTTGTATCATTTTAATTTTTATATGGCAATCTAGTATTTCTTGGATTGTTTGAAAATATTAAGGATTTTACTTTGTAATATGACACATTTTAAATTTTATGATTTGCATGTTTCATATATTGCTTTTTTTTTTTCTCGCAGCCTCTGGGTTTGTTTCGTTCTATTTGTTAAATTTCATAAAGAGGACTTAAATCTAATCAATGGAGCACTGTTTTTTTTTTTCAGTCACGAGATTTGCCATCCGATGGAGTTATAGAATTTTGTTATGGTAATAAAATGCGTAATTTTTACTTAGCGGTAATTGGCTATCATTGTTATCATATACTTTGAGTACAAATTAGAGGACCATAAATTTACTGAGAGGTTTGTTTGATATTTCATAAAGTTCTAGGGACCTGTGGACCTGCATCTAATTTACTTCAAGAATATGATAAGAAACATAAACATAGTTTTCCAGCTTGGTAGGTAAAAGTACGAGTTTATGGGTTGTCTTTGAATAAATTCAAAAGCTGTTTTTTTTTTAAGTAAATGCCCTGATGACCTTTAGCCTGCTTTGTTTTTGTAATATAAAAACTTCCCCTTCTCTTATTTTCAATTGAAAACGTTTATTGCTTATTCTTATACACTCTAAACTCTCTAGATTGGGAATAACTCTAATATAGAAAAATGCTTGTAATTAGATCTCCTTTAATTATGTTGTCTAATATCAAGTTTCCAAATAAACAAGCTTCCCAATATACACAGTTCAGATTTATTATTTTCCATAACACTCCCCCTCAAGTTGGAGTATAGATAATTATCTCCGTCTTACAAATATTAGTGACCCTCTCCATTAAGGGCCTTTGTGAAGATATTACGTAGTTGTGAAGATATCCCAGCTTGTTATAAAATAATGTTCTATCTAATATGCTTGGTTCGTTCATGAAAGACAGGGTTTGAGGCAATATGAATTACAGCTTGGTTACCACACCACAAATTTGTTGGAACTGTCATCTTAAAACCCATTTTGGTCAACAGTTGGCAGACCCACATCAATTCACTCAAAGCTTGTGCCATCGCTCTATACTCAGATTCAATACTGAACCATGACACTACATTCTATTTCTTACTCTTCCATGAGACCAAACTAACACCAACAAAGATATCCAGTAATGGATCTTTGATCAATCTTGGAACTTGCCTAATTTGCATCAAAGAAAAATTCGATATCTTTATGTCGATGATCCTAATATAGAATTCCTTATCTAAGAGCTCCCTTGAGGTAACATAACATTTATTCCAAAGTCGACTAATGGATTACGTGGGAACACAAAAATTAAATTATAGTGCTAACACAGTGACAGAACGAGTTACTGTGATGTAGTTTAATTTTTCCACCAACTTCCAATAATGTTCAAGATCATTAAGAGACTTCATCCTTGATAAATCGTCGATTAGCAAGCATCGGAGTACTGTATGGTTTGACCCTAAAATTTCTCGGTTTCTGCTAATAAATCCAACACATACTTCCGTTGATATAAAAATATACCCTTTTTTGCTTCTTGATAAACTTAAGAAGTATTTCAAGAAACCCAAATCTTCAATGCTGAATTGTTTGAAAAAATGATTTCAATGATAAGATTATTTGCACATTACTTCCAGTAATAACAATGTCATTAACGTAAATTACCAATAGAATAATTCTCGAAGTAGATTGTTTATATAATATAATGCAATCACTTCTAATCTTTTGCATCCCGATGTGTATCTAACATGCATGTTATTTTTATGTTTTTTTTTTTGCTTATGTATTTTTATGTTTTCCATGATATTTGTAATTGTATATGTGGCGTACATGTGATTAGGCAATTAGAGAGCAAATGAAATGAAACAGACTCAAAACGGACAGAACCGAGCTAAATCGGGCTGCCCGGGCTCCACCTCACTAGACTTGGGCACCCCTTTGCCATTCTCAACGCCTAGGCACTTGTCTTGGGCACCTAGGCGCTACGAGAGAGAAACTGGCACCCAGGCGCCAATTCTGGGCGCTCAGGTGCCAAAAATAGGCGTCTAGGTGCTCGTATATACGGGCTTACGATTTTAAGGCATTTCTTTCTCACCGTTTCGACTTGGATGCTTAAATTGAAAAATTCGTATGCACATAGGAGTAATGAGAAACTCTGAGAAGAAGGATCCAAGTGCGACGAAAGAGATGAGAGATTATGAGATTTTTTGAGTGTGTAATTGTGCTTTTAGTCTCAACATTTTCTTTGGAGAAGGAAGTGATAAGTTTGTAATTTTTTTGGTGTATTCATTGGGTTTAATCATTTAAACTCTCGTTTGTGATATTTCTTTTTAATGAAATGATAATGTTGTTCTCAAGCATGAATTATCTTTCAACCTTGAAATGTATAGTAGGAGTT